GAAAAAATTGAGTCACATGAGAAAAAATTCGTTATATAGAAAATGCACTTCGCTATTGTGCGAGGTTATTTTACGAAGAAAATAACCCTAGAAGTTCCTTATATTGAAAAATTCGCGATGTAGAGGTTCGTAATACGGAGATTTAACTGCCATTATGATTTAGGGTATAAAATTTGTTTCATGAGTTAAAAATAAAACTTGAAAATAATGACACAAATAACAAGATTTTGTAAAAAAAATGCTTAAATACATGAAGCCATTTTAATTTCCACAATTTTTTTGAGTTTCAGCTTTTGTTTGCGTTAGACTTTCTACTGAATCATAGAAAAATGAATCTTTCTGTGTTTTGGAATTCGTTTTTTCATTCATTAGAGGAAGACATCAGAAGTGAGGAGAAAAATAATTCCTAAAACCTTATTGTGGGAAAATAGCCAAGATTGAGATTGAAAACTCGCCTTTGAATGTGTCATGGACGACTTGTCAGAAATTTGATAAATGTACGATAAAAATAATTTTTCTTTACGCTGCTGCGTTGATTTAATATTTTTCATAAAGTTTAAAATAAAAAACAAAAATTCTCCACTTTAGTTCTCATGCATTGTCAATTTTTAAAGATTTGCTAAATGACAATCCTCTTATTTATTCTTAATTAGTTTTTAATTTTTAAATCTCCGTACGTTGATGCGGGCGATAGTGATGAGCCCTTTAATTGCGATTTATTTCTTTTATTCGATCGAATTTTTCAATTAACTTCTCCGTTTTAAAGCGAGGAGAATCTTCCGCTTTAGTTTAATGGAGAACGTATTCTTATTTTCAATCGCCAGGTATTACCCCAATACTTAATTTTTCGAAAAGTTTATTAATTTGTAAGAGTCTTTTATTCCTTTAATTGCTTTCGCGGAAAGAAAATTGTTTCAAATATTTTTATCTCTCGTTTAAAAACGTTTTTTTAAAATCTTTCTTTCGTTCTTCACCACTTCATCGCTCTCGGAATAATGAAGACGAAGCTCGAAAGTTAATTGAATTAATCAATGATAAAAATCTCTTTTCATAAATTTTTATAAAAAAAATTTATTTCTCGCTTTTTAAAAGTTTGGCGTCTTTCTTTCTGCAAACACTGTAAGATAAGCCATCGTCTCTGTCGGAAAGGAATGTGTTATAAAGATGAGCCCCACCCCCTCTTTGCGGGAGTGCATCATTAGTCACCGAATTTCCTGTTGAAAATAATCTTTAACCAATTCGAAAATGAGTGGATAAAATTCCTGATAAACTTTGACATTGTGAAGTAGTGTGTGGTAAATCGGAAGATGAAGTGTCGTTTTTTGAATGGCTGGATCAGAAATGAGTCATCATTCTGTTCGTGTTTGCATTTCTCGTGGCATTCTTCAGAGTAAAAGATCAATTGAATTGTTAAAAGTTTTACTCTTCACAAAGTTCAAAGAGAAAATATGGATCTGTTTTGCTTTTGTGTTGCAGCTTTTTACTCTAGATTATTACTTTAAAATTGATCTTCTCTATCTTAACTTTAAAAAATTGAACATTTTAGATATTTTTACAACAGCAATCAGAAGTCTGTGATTGTCTAGTAGAGAAGTTTCAAGAGTTTTATGATCGAGGGGTTTGAGGATTCTAATCTCATTTTTACCACCCCCCACCCCCTTCACAAAAACATCGGAATTGGAATAATGGATTTGTGAAATGTCAGGGCTCAATGCCATGGGAATGAAAGGGCTGCGTTACCCCATTGGTCAAGGTATCGGATCATGGCCGGCATGTCATGAGTTCGAGCCCAGTACCACTAAAGACCCACCGTATAGAGCAACGATGCTCGTAAAATCTGTCGAGATCTGAAACGTCCTCCCGTTGGCAAAATCCGTCGATCCGTCCCGTGATCCGTCGCCAAAAGACCTCGTATAGCTGAACAGTGCGACGTTAATATTCACTCACTCACTCACGCCATGGGGATGAAATTTGCATAGTGAGAGATAACTACTTGGATGTCATCCTCGTTCTTGAGTTTTCTTGAGATACAAGCAAAGTCAAAATGTGTTTCACTATCGGTGTGTGTGGGGACAAACACACATTGCAAATAGCAGGATGATTCGCAGAATGGTTGTCTCATGCCGGGGAATCTTCAAATTTCTCCTCTTTTTGAAAACAAATATGAATGTTGTTATTTATTTCATGCGGAACAGTTAAATGCTAAGCATGTGACGATTCTTTAAAAACTTCGAAAGTTATTAAAAGAGTTTCAAACAATGTTTTAGCAATATCAGCTTTTAAAAAGACAACTGCTATGTCCACTTATTTTCGCCTCGTACATGCGTTTTATTTTCCGTTTCTTAATAAGCCCCGTGAAATATTTTAAATACGGAGATCAATAAGAAGGAGAGAAGCTTATAACCGTACACCTTCTTTTAGATGCGTTTTCATTCAGTTGCATTCATGTAGTTCACAAGCTCGCTTGTATAAATCGAATTTACATTTTGCTTAGTCTTTCGGAACTTTCAAAATGAACTAGAATACTCAAAAAAGAGCTTCTGATAAACTCCCAAATAAAAGAAAAGGCTGTAAGAATCTTTTCGAACAAAATTGTGGTGATTGCAGAACGTGAAAGGGGAACTCTGTTTATTGAGAAATTCACAAGAATACTTGTTGTTGTTACTTATGCCATAGTAACATCAGATCAAAACAATCGAAATTCATCACGGCAAAGGGCTGTATTTACGCCAGTCGTTAGCCTTAGCTTTGAGCGCCATATTGGTGGCTGTGTGATTTGGCTCGATTCCACCCCAAATCTGAGGGAGAACATATTAAGGGAAGGGTTGGGGGCTCCCACCTTTCTTTCCCTTCCACCAACCTCACGAGAGGCTCGACGGCTATTAAGAGTACCCTCATGCCGCAAAGACATCATACATTTACAAACATCCATGCCTTCTCCGAGATTCGAACCCAGGCCCTACGGCACAGCAGTCAGCGTCACTAACCACTATACCGGATGGTCGGCACAGGAATGCTTAATAAGGATGGAATACAGGAATAAGCTAAAATGATTTACTTCTACTAAAAACTGAAAATATATTATTAACTTATTTCCCTTCCAATAAGATTAAGTGTTATATTTTATTTTTTTACGTTATGCATTATGTTATGTTATATATTCTCTTTGTCGCGTCAGATTGACCACCTGACGGAAACATCTGCACATGCACCCGAGCGCCAAGGTCACGTAAATTGAGATAGACTCAGTAGGCCTTAGCCTTTATGGGCTTTAGTGCCACTGAGTTCAGTTCATATTCTCTTTGTATTTAAAGAAATATGTTAGGATCAACTTTTTAGGAACGGCTTATTTCTTGATACGTGTTCAAAAGTCATTCATGTCGAAATTCATATTATTGTTCCATAATTTGACATAAATATAAATTATTTATATTTATTAAATTGGTTCTTAAAATCTAAAAAATCCATTGTATTTTACAAAAAACTTGTAAAAAAGGCTCATCTGGCACGAGGTCTGAAATGAGTCTTATTTCAGGGTTGTAAACGTCCTGAAAAAAATGTTAGGGCTTATTTCCTGATTTTATATGGGGGAAATATTATTCATGTTGATACTGAAAAGAAATTATAATGGACAGGAGATGAAAATAAAATGATATTTTTTAATTTTAATCCTCAGAATTCAAGCATTCGGCATAATTAGCATGTGGAAGTTTTTAATTTCTTTCTCAACCTTATGATTGGTCAATACGTGAAACTATGCAGTGAAAAAGAATCACTCTGATTTGGAAATTCCATTGTAAGGCTAAAAAAAGATTTAAAGTATATGAGCATAGTTAAAAAATAGTATTGTAGGGCATTTTGTTAAAGAAAGAAAAAAAATCAACGTGATTACTAGGTTTTTGAATTTTTCTTCGTGTTGAATTTGAAGCCTCGACTGAAGAGTCTCTGTTATTACGGACTCTATAAGGTATTATTTCGAAACACAAAATCAATTTCACCGCTGAAAAATAAATGAATGTGATGAAGTATCCTCAGTTCTCGAAAACAATGGTTTCTCGATCATTACCACTACATTTCTCTCGGTATCTATTCTTTTTAAAACAAAATTTTTTTTCTCTCCACATTGAACCTAAAATTACATTCTTCCTACCCAAACGACGGAAATCTTATCTTCGAAATCGTTCCATTTTTTTTCCAGAAACAAAACTTCTCCTTCGCCGTCTAGCATCGGAATGGTAGCGCATTTCTTTCATGGAGTAGCCACCCATGGTTCGCAGTCCAGATTCGGACATGGAGCTCCTTTGCATTTGATAGCGAAATCCTCCGCCCTTCCGCTAGTCTTGTTTCTTTTGTGCCTCGGGGGAGGAGGGTTCTTGCGTTCGTTTCTATCGTCTCGCATCCGGGTCTCTGGATGCAAATTAGGGCGGGGATACGCCAAGGCCTTTTGTTGTCTGGAACAGGTCCACTTCTCGAACGAAAAGGGTGATCTGAGACCCGATCTCCTAAAAATTGCGGTTCTGATTTCGTGACCTGCTTCATTTCACACATAACAGTGATGATCCATATATCGTACGGTTGTGAAGAGATTTGTTTGTGATGTATGCTATCCAAGGCTCTAGTTTTATTTTCGAACATTGCAACGATTATTGAGAAAACTAATATCATTTTCTGTCACTTTTTTTATTTTATTTATATCAGCTCTTAAAGCTTTTATCAGCGAAACAACCACTGGCGTAGCTAGTCCTGAGTGGGCCCTGTATCAAAATTCCTCGGGGATCCTTTCGGGGCCACTTAAAATTTTACTTTTTTTTTGCTTACACAATTCGGGGCTCCTAAAGCTTGAGGCCCCGTATCATTGATACACCCCTGGAAAGAAACCATACAAACTTCCCTGTGAACTTCTGTGTGGCGTTTCCATTGCAACAACTCAACACTTAATCATGGTTCAAAATGAAGACTTTTCTCCCTTGTGTTACTTCCAGTGCTCTAATCATTGTCACGCCCAACCAGTAGGGTGGCAAAGACCTTCGGCTTGTAACCGAGTGGGTTCGGGTTCGAATCCCGAGTAAGACATGATTGTATCTTCTTCGGGAAAGAAGTCGGTCTTTCGCCTGAATGGGAAGAGGTAAAGCAGCTCAACCCTTCTTGTTATATGCTGGGATCAGCATCTGTAATAAATGTGTATATTCTTCTGTTTGTATTGTATGCTTTCTGTTCTTCTCTTGTATTTCATATGTTCCCAGGATAATAAACACACCACAACCAATCGTACAGCAGCCTCCGCTATTCGAAGATTCAAATCGAACGTCGAACGCGCAATCCGTTGCTTATTTCACCCTCGTGAATGAATCCCCAGGCTACCACATTCTTTTTAAACTTTAAATCTAAGATAAACTGTACATTTATTCATCCGTTGAAACAGAAAATGAGAACGATAAATTCTATTTGATTCAAACCGAGAAATATCGATAGGAAATCGGAACATCTTTTAATAGCACCAGCTGATATGAGAAACGTGTGTGTTGATAGAGAAAAAGAGAGAAACTGCCTTTCTGAAGTTAACTGCATCCAGGGAACTATTCTTCTGTTCTTTATTGTATGCAAAATCGGGTAAAGAAATCCTCCCAATACCAATACGCATTTGTGGCGAGTTTTAAGCGGTGCCACGGATAAATAAAATTGCGCGAGAAAAACTCTTACAGTCTCGGACTTTTCAGAAAGAATATTTCTTATTCGTGTTATTTGAAAGGAAAATGATTTTCTTTCTTTTTTTTCTTTCTTTCTGTTCTACAAAACCCTTTGGAGTACGGCTAGATATTCAAAAAAGGATCAGTTCCACGGTTTTATTTGGAAATGTAACGGTTTTCGCGGCAGCAGATAACCTTTTTTTCTTTCTTTTTTGTATATTCCAATCGTTTTGAAAGTTAACTACGTTCTGGGAAAGTGTATTGAATTATATTTCTTATCTGTTCTCTTTCTGTATACTATTCTTTTTATCGCGAATAATTTATTACAAATTCTTACAAAAATTTAATCTAGTTTACCTTTTTTTTTATATTGGGTTACGCTTGATATTTAGATTTTTGTCCGACTATTTCATGATTTTATGCTCAAAAGCATCGAAAGCTTCTACAGTTAAGTACTTTTGAAATAAAAAATGAACACAATTAAGGAAATAGATTAAAATATTTTTAAAAAATAAATAGATAAAAGAGTAAAAAAAAAAAATGAATAACAAATCAGTTATAAGTTATTTTATTAAAAAAAATAATAATAAAAGAAAACCTACGCACGCTTAATTGCTTCATATCTTAGCTTCTTAACAGAGGTAATTTTATTGCAAAAAGATTTTAGGACACGCGCGAACTTGGAAAAAATGATAAAAATCATTTGACAATTAATGAATCTTCTATGGTAAAGAAAAAAATGCTGTGAATTCAAAAAAAAAAAAAAAACTTTTATTATCGTCGGTAATAGAAAATTCGCTTAGAAATGCTTTAAATTATTAATTTTACAAGGTGCCTGACTAGTGCAAAAACATCAATTTTGATGAAAATGACGAATTTTTTTTTACTTTAAATTTTATTTAGTTGAATTTTCTGCTTTCTAAAAATACTTTACTTTTGTTTGTACTTCAATTATTTACGAAGTTATTATGTCAAGAGAGAGCAGCAAAAACGAACCGGAAGTAAGATATCGAAACCGGAAGTGTTTGCATTTTAATACATTTTTACACTTTTTTGGTGTTTATCGAATTTATTTAAAAAAATATTAACTTAGGTAAGGTAATGACGGGACATAGGGCTTTTTTTTAAAAAAAATAATTTATTAGTTTCAAGCGAAATTTGGCAAATAAATTCATAAAATTTTTGACATTTTTGGTTTTTTTGTATGTCCTTGCTTCTCGATATTTTGTTTCATATTTAACTTTTTTTTTTTTGTATATTTGATAGAAAACTCTGTTCTTAAAGACCAAATATTAATTAATTACGCCTAAAGCAAGGTCTGGGAGGTCTAAGGAATTTGCTTCATCATGGG